CGAACTCACGACACATCCATTATCGTTTTACGCTTTCAGTTGCTGGACGAGCTTGACCAAGGACCCTTTTGAAAACTTTTTACTAGATATAGTTATAATGGAATAAGATTTCAAACTTTCGCTGATAGAATGAAATGCAATAGATTCAATTTGTCAATTTTTCATGACCAATTATATTAAAAAAAAGAAAGTGTATATAGATGGGAATTATCTGGTAGGCTTAATAAATAATGACCTAAGATGGACGTCCACTGGACGTTAAAATACTACTAAACTTAAAATTAAGTCCAAAAACAGACGTTCTCTGGGTATCGATATTTAGCTGTCAAATTAATTAGCATAAACGGACGTACACTGGATGCCCGGATATGGACGTCCTGACCCTCAAATGGATCTTAAATATACGTCCATTGGATATGTATGTATAGTACTTATTTAAGTATGTACCAATATTTCCAAAATCAATCCCAGTATGATTTATTCAATAAATATAAATATGAATGGGCAAAACATCGTTTTATTGACATAATTGTAACTTACAATTTAGCCATAATAAAGGGATTTCGCCCACTTTGCCCAATCCTAATTGAAACACGCGGATTTATTTTATTTTTTTAAATATAATTTTAAAATAAAATAAACAAAATCTGCAGTTCATTGTTTATTAAATTTATTTAAAAGAAGACCAACATATATTTCAGAAAATCCAATACCTACATATGAAAAATAAAATGTCAAAAATGATTGAATTATTATACTTAATATTTATACATGTGATAAAATTCTTAGTTTCCCAATAACTTTTTGGCACATTTTATATCTGTATTAGAATACCTAAGTGTGTAAAAAATCTTCATCTTATTACTACACAAAACAAACACCAAAAAATATCACTTAACATTGCTCACGTACTAAACACAACTTGGACTGACTTTGACAGATAATATCATTTTGAGTGATACACAACTTATTTTCGCACATGCGCGTTACAAAACGGTACACTGAAAACACCAAGCTGTCGCTTCTCCTTGATCGGTATTCTCGGGTGACAACGTAATTAGAGGCAAATAAATTCCATGCTAAAATAAGACTTATTGCAAAGCTGAAATTTTGACATTAGAGTCCTTGTCCCTATACATATTTCTAACCTCATTTTAAAAAATTTAAATTGCAGTTCACGTTTTTTGTTGTTTATAATAGTACATAATATTGAATAGGCATTAGAAATTACCATTTTAGAAGGTTTAGATGATGATAATATTAAATATTTTATATTAAAAAATTTCGAACTGACACGAATGTTGACGAGCGCACCCGAAAACTATAAAGTCGCCACTAACTGCTGTCCATAAACATCCACAATTATTAAGGACAGGCACAATCTTTATTAAAGTCAGTTCTAGAATGTAAGTGATCTGCTCATGCTCAGATGTCAAAATAAGAGCGGCATTAATAGTGACTGACCTTAAGTGAACTTGCAATAACTCTCTATTTGCAATAACTCTATTTAATTTTTAATTCATTATTAATCACATACTTTGATTTTCTTTTACTATACGGAGAATGGTCGCACTGCGCAGCTTTCTGAGTGTCTTTTAAAAGGAGATAGAAAACTCCGCCATTTTGAACCCTTATTACGTGTTGCCTACATCTTGGCGCAATATTTTTAATAGGTGCGTTTTAATCATCCGCTTCTGCTTCGGAATTGTCGGTTTTCTTGTTTTAATCTGACAGGTTAAAACGACTAAACCGACAATTCCGGAAGCAGAAGCGGATGATTAAAATGCACCTGATATTTTGCTTGCTGCTGTCAGTGTCAGTGAATATTATTTTTGAAGTCACAGTTTATTGCTAAAGAATCAGTTAGCTCACTCGGACAAGTTGAAAGTTCCAAAATAACATCCACTCCAGGGATACAAATTCAGGATACGCAGAAGACTGCTGTTTTATTATAGGCGGTTGTCATATATTGTATTTTCCGAGTTGCACAGTGTATAAACTGAAACATTGAGATCCAAAGTGCCGACGCAGAGTGAGCGATCTGATTCTTTAGCTGTAAACTGTGTCACAGGGTTCAAAATGGCCGCGCCCTATGTTGGGCGTGTCGGACCTCTCTCTTGCCTCTTATAGTAATCAAAGTATGTGTTATTAATGGTAATGATATTTGTCAATTGTCAGTTTTGGCTTTGGCAGCTTTTGTCAAGACAAGATCGTCCTAGAAAGAAAATGGAAGTTCGGGTTATAAAACACGAGAATTTATTAGAGATTTAGCAGTAATAATTCTGTTATGTATAATTAATCGAACTTCGAATTTCGTTCAAAGATGGTTTTAGCAAAGACAACCAAATCTCTTATGTTCTGTGGTCTTGGGATTGGCAACACTCTTCGTGTATGTTTATTTGTCTAATCAAATTCAGGCGAAAAAAGGTTAACAAATAGTCGGATCGGATGGTTGAAATAAATCTTCACATACTTTGATTTTCTTTTACTATACGGAGAATGGTCGCACTGCGCAGCTTTCTGAGTGCTTTTTAAAAGGAGATAGAAAACTCCGCCATTTTGAACCTTTATTACGTGTTCCCTACATCTTGGCGCAATATTTTTAATAGGTGCGTTTTAGTCATCCGCTTCTGCTTCGGAATTGTCAGTTTTCTTGTTTTAATCTGACAGGTTAAAACGACTAAACCGACAATTCCGGAAACAGAAGCGGATGATTAAAACGCACCTGATATTTTGCTTGCTGCTGTCAGTGTCAGTGAATATTATTTTTGGAGTCACAGTTTATTGCTAAAGAATCAGTTAGCTCACTCGGACCAGTTGAAAGTTCCAAAATAACATCCACTCCAGGGATACAAATTCAGGATACGCAGAAGACTGTTGTTTTATTATAGGCGGTTGTCATATATTGTATTATCCGAGTTGCACAGTGTATAAACTGGAACATTGAGATCAAAAGTGCCGACGCAGAATGAGCGATCTGATTCTTTAGCTGTAAACTGTGTCACAGGGTTCAAAATGGCCGCGCCCTATGTTGGGCGTGTCGGACCTCTCTCTTGCCTCGTATAGTAATCAAAGTATGTGGAAATCTTAGATACATGACTCATTTGAAAGTTGTAATTCTGCACGCGCGACTTTAATTAGACCTGAATACGACCCTACTTAGTTTACCATTTAAGCGACGCCTAGTGGGGTCATTTTTATTAACAAGGATCTTATGAGAAACAATCGCCTCATGGCATCTCCATTAGTATTATACCTCCATGATAGCATGACAGATGATAGTGACATCTGATATCGTTCTCATGGTAACTGACGTTACGACTATCACGGTCCATTTGGTTTGTCCAAATTTCATCATCGAACCAACTTCTCTTTTTTCTAATATTCTAATATTGATTCTAATATTCTCTTCATTCCAGTAATATTATTCTAATAAAATCTGTTTTGTTTTAGTTCTACAACCCCCAAGAGTTGGATATAAATTTTGAAAATAAAAAGGAGACTATTTAAATGGATACGAAGATTTGTTGGGATTTTATTTAAAATTCAAATTATTTGTTCATTAATTAATATACACAGCAATCAATATTTGATAATATTAACTATGTAGTCATTCCCATTCGCTTTTTTAAATTGGTTTTTGTTTTGATTACAAAGTACGTTAATAAAAATTCAAAATAAACAATAATAGATATCTATGGTAGGTGAGTATTATTATTAATATTAATATATTTTGTTTTTTGTAATAACATATTACAAATATTGTGTAATAAATGAATAAATGAAATATAAAATTTGTTTGGTTTTCAATTATATACAAGCAATACATACTTATTTATTATTAAAGCAAAAACGATGTACCTAACTCGAACACAAAACAAAAAGCAAATATAGTTTCTCATCTGTCTGGAAAAAGTGACACGTCGTGTTTTTGCTTGCTATTTGTAGTTGGATACAAGAGAGATGGATACACAACATGTACTTTATCCCGGTGTTGGGATCTGTCGTATAACCTGTCAAATTTAAAGTAAAGTTGTTTATCAATGGATTTTTTGTTTTTTGCTAGCATCGAATATGCTTCTAGCCGTCTAAAACAATAAAAAATGCTTTTACAAACATAACATTTTCTATTGTCCGGTTTTGCTACTTTCGGTGTAGGGATTTCGGCCACGTGACAGGATACTTACATTTTTTTTATGAAATTTAGGATATAATAATAATAATAGTTTATTATTTGCCAATAAAAGATGTACAGAAATACAGTCTATATAGCCTAAGATGATATTGCAAGTATTTTTTTGTGTCATCAAAAGGATTGATATGCAAAAATAAATTGAAATGTGAAAAATTGAAACAAAAAGCCAAAGTTTTTTAATTGCTATCAACTAAGAGTACTGCCCTTGCAAACATTTTTTATCCTATGCCATTTGCCATAAATTAGACTAGCAGCAAAAAAGGAAAAATCCATCGATAAGCAACTTAAGTTTGAATTTGACAGGTCACATGACAGCTCCCACCACCTGGAAATAGTACAATTTTTTCCCCTGTATCCGCCTACAAATAGCAAGCGAAAAACGATTTGCCACTTTTTGCAGTCAGATTAGAAACTAATAAGGTTGTAATTTGATGTGAGGAAACTACATTTATATAAAAGCCGAAAAAGTTTAATTTCATACCGTGCAAGGTATTTTCCCCTGATCAGTTGCTTTAAAAGTGTCATGGTTATGAGATAGAAGTATTGTGATGGCGTCTAAAATGTGACTGATATTTAGTTATGTCTCGTTGTTAAGCAAAGCTAGTAATTTAATCTTAAAGTATTACTTCAAATGGTTTTTATAAAGTGGGAAAGTAGATCAGGGGAAAAGCCTGGGATCAAACCTCATATCTTAATAGGCAAAAATATACTTTCAAATTTATTGTTTTCAATTTATTAATAAATAAAAAAATATACATTTACAATTTTATCAAATAGATTACAAATTTTATATTAAATTTATCATCTAAATTAAACACTTTACCAAGGTTGTACCAATGGCGCAGGAGAGTAGGCAGAAACTACTGGTCCTGGAGCAGCAATAGGGAATGGAGCGACACTTTTAGCAACGAGTGGTGTAGAGTAGGCCGAGAATACTGGAGCTGGAGCAACAAAAGAAAGAGAGGCTACACTTTTGGCAACAAGTGGTGCAGAGTAAGCAGATATGACTGGTCCTGGAGCATCAATAGGGAATGAAGCGACACTTTTAGCAACGAGTGGTGCAGAGTAGCTTGAGAATACTGGAGCTGGAGCTGCAAAAGATAGAGGAGCTACACTCTTGGCAAGAAGTGGAGCAGAATAGGAGGAAATGACTGGAGCAGGCGCAGCAATAGGAGCTGAATAACTTAAAGGAGATACAGATAATGGAGCTGGATGACTGGTGTAAGTGTTGACGACTGATTTAGACAGAACATGAGCAGAATTTGCTTCTACTACTGGTGTACCGACGGTTGCTACTGGAGCTTCGTCGAAAATTCCAGCGTTGGCGTAGGCCATAATGGTAGCAAGGATGATGTACTGAAAAAAATCATAAAATTAAAATTTGGAAAATTTCTTTAAATTCACATAATTTTTTTAATTTTTAAGTTGTATATTGACACCCCAGAAATAAAAATGGTTATTATAATCTAATTAGAAACAATTAAAAATTAAAAAAATTATATGAGATACAAAAAATTAATGGGATAAAGAAAATTTGATTGAATTATTTATTAATTATAGTCTATTTCTATAAAGTGTATTAGTTTGAACGTTACGAGGAAAGGGTAAGTACCCCTAGACTTTTCTGCCAATTGCTAAAATTAATAATCTGGATTACAGCATCTATAAATAGATAGAATGTGAATATCTAAAAAATTATATAATTTCTTCATCTGAAGTTATTTTTCTTTACTACTCCTCTTATTTTAAATCTTAAATATATGTATGTATACGCCCCTGAATCAAATGAAAAATAAAAAGTAGAGAATATTTTTTCCTTCTATTTCTTACAAACAATATTTTAAATATATATTTTTTAATTAAATTGTAACTTAAAGTATTTAAAATATTTAAAGAACTTACTCTGAACGCCATGATGATCTCTATGTTAGTTTCTACAAAAAACTGATATAATATTTAGCGAATTGGCGGACTTTTATATCTGAAATGTATCAATATACATAAATATTCAATTCAGCTAATAAAAGTGAATCTCTTTTATCGATCAAACGAAGATCTAGGTTACGTTCTTCACTAAAATGCATAATAGGCCTGGAGGCGCTGAACAAAATTAGTCAACGAGTTATTACAAAAGCTTTAATATATTTTATTAGGATACCATCTAAAATACCTATATCAAAAACTCTGCCGTCCCTACTTGGTCATTTAAACTAAGGGGAAGCATGTCAATTTGACACGAGTTGACTTAATAGTAAACATCTAGTTTCATGGAAAAACTATGTCTAAATTTCAAAAATGCAAAGGTAGAAAAAAAATCAGTAGCAGGGACGTACGAATTTTTGCGAAAAATAATTCGACACGAGATGACCTACCAGTAAGCGTAAAATGTTACGAGTAAACTATAGCTAATTTTTCTTGCTATCAAATACTTTTTCCAAAACCTAAAAGGCAGAGAAAATCTAGCACCGTTTGGCGTGTAGAGGCTATCAACTTCGTTCATGTATAATTAAATATTTAGGGTATGTGTGTACTTTAATAAAATACTGATTTCAATGATGTGTGAACGGAAAATTATTTTCGTAGGTATAGTAAATAATTGGTAGGTATTGTAAAAATGTCACTGAGAATATCATTTAAAATTAAATACAAAGATTTATTAGTATTACGGCCGTTTGCACCGACGTATTTAAGGAATACTTAAAGTTAAGTAGGATTTAAGTGACATACTTTCATTGCACCGTCAGTTAAGGAGCCCTTTTGAAACACTTAAACTCTTCTTAATAAAACCGTCAAATTTTGAGACTTAAACATTTCTTATTACCTACTTTCACAGTGACATTTGTTATAATTATAACAAAAATATGGATCCCGATGATAATTTTATATTTAATGATGAACTGGAAATAATTGAAATTGCTGATTTTGGGTTTTCAATGCGGTTGTATAATAGAACTAATTATTTCGGCGAAATGGATAATTTGACCTGCTTTAAAAGGTTTAGATTGTATACAGAAACTGTAATATAAGTACTGGAACAAATTGAAAATCTCACAGATTATTTTATTTAAATAATATGAGTTTTTGTGTTTTTAATTATTTTGTTTAATCTATTTCGATATTCTATATATTCTTGTTTTTCCAGGAAATCTTTTTGAGATCCACTACCACTACCGGTAAACGTAAAAGTTACACAGGGAGGGTTAACACTTTGTAGTTTTACAGTTTTAGTTTTTTTCACGATGAAAGACGTCGTTTTTTTTATTTTTCCAAGTATAGTATGGGTTAACTTTTTCTTCTCTTTCTTTATTTATTATCAATATATCAAAAGTTCGATACAATTTACTGGTTTTCGATTAAAAACAAGACAACTTACCGATGAGAAGAATAACTAAACTTCCTTTGGTAAGGCGGCCTTCAATGTAAATGGTGCAAATTACATAATTTTAGGGATTCCTTGAATATTTATGGAACCTTAAGTAAGGAATCTTAAATAAAAAGTAGGTGCAAATGGCCGTTAGTATATGAAAAAACAAACTCAGTGAAGTATACACACAATTTCAACTTATTAAATATATTAAACAGATTTTTATATATTTTTCACCTAAACATAATAAAGTTCAAATTATACAAAAAAAAAAACACGCAAAAAACAGTTAAACATTAACTTAAAAGAAAAACAGAAACAAAAGTGGTATTTTTTGTAATATTTATAAACTAGGCGTGACAAAGTTAAGACTACATTGAAATAAAAAATTATATATTGGGACAAGTCAGGTTCAATTTTCTAATTCAGACAAAAATACAACATCCAAAAAAAGATTACAAATATACAGATGTAAAATATTGGAACTAAAAATGGCACTATATATTTTGCAAAATGCGACTACAAGTTGTACTATGAGAATATTTTTTTTTTTTCCAAAAATCCATCCATTATTCTGAGGATCGTAAAAATGTGGTTGTATTTCAGTTTAGTGATACCAAATTTCATATTTGGTTACATCATTTGATTTTTTTAAATTCCTTCTGACAAGGGAACAAGAGTTGTACATTAAATGTTTTTTAATATTGGTGGGTTTTTGTCACTTTTGCTTTAATAAGTAGCTAGAAAAAAATTTCCAAAAAAAACCCATTTTTATGTAATTTGGTATATTAATTTCTTCAAACTTCAATTTCTGGTATTTCTAGTATTTTTGGCAATGGTTTAATTTTACCCTTTCCGAAAAAGATGTAACGTGATACTTGTTATTTTATCTATTTGTTATGGTATTTTAAGCTCAATTGATTTTGGAAGTGGGTCAGGTTATTAAATAACTCGTATTACCTTGAAAAATGTGTTAAGCACCACTATATTTAAAACTTACTATACTTGACTATAGATTAATGATAAAAATATAAAAAATCACTAACCATTAAGATATTATATTTAAACAAAGTTTTAGATAAGGTAGTAACAAATTCTAATTCACAGAGATTTAATTCAAATTTAGATGATTTATTTTAAAAAACAAAGACTTATCTGTTATAACAGGAGGTAGTTATATTGGTGTGATTTGCATGGTATATTAGGCTTTCTTCAAAGGGATTCTTATTCTTAATGCTGGACTTGAACGATCTTCTATAGGTGAACCAAACCTCGGTCTTCAGATGGGACCAAACTCTTAGGTATAAATCTTCATAAACTTAAATCTCCATAACTGTTTTAGATATAACTCGAAATAAACTTCTTTAGATATAACTCGAAATAAACCGTCTAGATATAGCCAAGCTTACAAAATCAGACGGCCAATAAGAATATTAAAAGACAATTAGTACATCGGATGTCCAAGATAATTTAAAATTTAAATCAACTTGATTCGTTGACAGTTACAAATCGAATAAATTAGGAACTTTTGACACAACCCAGCTAGCACCGACACGTGATTTTCATGTGAAATACACGGCACATTTTACGTCGAAATCACCAATTTATGACGTGCTAGTGACGTGATTATGACGGCAATATGTCACAAATCAAAGACGTCATACAGTGACGTGATAAACACGTCACCAGATAACGTGTTTAGACGTCAAAAAAACACCATAATATTCATTTAAAAATGTTTAATTTGTAAAAAAATGTTTATAAAAAACTTTTTATTTAAAAAATGTTTAACAAAAATATGTTTTATATAAAAAAAGATAGGTTACTGCATAAAATTTCTGAATTGACACATAGTATACTAACCTGAACTATTACTAAATAAACATTACTTCTTAGAATATGTACTTAGAATGTATAAATTACAAAAGATTATATAGCAGTGTCCAGATATTCAACAAATCATTCCGAATATACAGGCTTGAAGCAGCTTCAATGGTATCCTTATTAAATTTTCGTTTCACTAAAACAAAAATATAATAGTTATAACTACCAGAAACTTAATTATTTAAATAAAATTTGAGCCAAAAAATAGAGTTAGCATTGACCGAGAAAGACAGAAATTGTTTTATATCATTAAGCTGTCACAAAAGTTCACAAATTTAACAAGATAAATAAAATCAGATCTGTCAAGAGAAATCAATGAAAAAATTTAATATGCGCCTGGCTAAAGAGTACTAGATGCTCCTAGCTAACACAAAATTTAGTATTTCTTCATGGGTCAAAAACCTAATATTTTAATAATAATTTTATGATGCTAAGTTTTAAAGTGATGTAAAATTGTGAATTTTAAACCAGGTTAACCTGACTTTTTTATAATTAATGAAATGAAGAAATGTTATTATTTTTACAAGGTATATATTAATAAGAGGAAAAATTATTTTACCCCCAAGCTCTTTTGAATGTAAAGGTGAGATTTTTAATAATTGTGAAAAATAATTATTGACATTTGAAGAAAAAAATGTTGTTCGGAATAAAAGAAATGTACTTATAACATTGTCACAAAAGTATGAATTTTACTCATAATAAAAAATAAGTTTTGCTAGACAAAGTAGTGCTTACCTACCAATAGGTTCGTCATCAATAACGAATTCATCAGCTTCACTTGAAAATATTCTTCTTAATGGCTTTCTTTTACAAGGAAGAGGTTGTAACTCATCATCACTTGTTATATCCTATGTCATAAGAACCTTTGTTGCTTTTTGGCTAGCTATTTGGTAATTCTCTAAAACAGATTAATAATTTTATACACTATACTTTTTTAAATAAATAAAACGGCTCACAGAGATGGTTTACGAAATACTATAACTATAATAGGTCTCAGTTACCAACAAAAATTCAAAAAATATAATATCAAGGTATAATGCAAAATAATTTCATAAAACAATGTAATTAAAACCACAGTACATAAAGGGAAAGGTTTTAGTAATAATAC